CATGACTACCTACCTGAAGACTGCCATTGAGAAGAAGCTATATCAGCTTTCTCAGTACACATACGCAGATTGCATTCAGGTTAGAGGTAGCTGCTCCTCAGATTGAGATAATATAATGTAGTGTTTCCTCAAGTGGGCGCAGTGTGCATTCACATAGTTTTGTTTTCCCAATAATTATCTGAACCCTCCAGAGCGCATCGCTTTAAAACAACTTTGAGCCAAGTAAATATGTTTAAAAGTACCAAATTGGTTGGTCCGTGATGAGACTCTGGCTTTGTTAACAGTCTCGGTTGCTGTGAACTGTGACCAAAACGACTGTAATCGTGACTGTTGAACTAGCTTATTGATAAATGTTTTTTTTGAAGATTGATACGGTTTGACTGTATTTCTGTGAATTACACTTTTTTTTGCTTTGTTTTTGTCACATTATGTCATATTCTTTTTTATTTTTTATGGGGGGAGGGTTCTTTTTGGGCAATTTATTTTATAATTGTTTTTTATAAGGCCAATAAAGTAATACATTGTTGTTGCCACACAAATATATTACGTTATTGGCTTTAATTGGCTGTTATTATGTTTTTGGTTTCGGCACACGTTATTACACTAATTTTACATCTATTCTTCTTTTAAGAGACTGTCAGAAATAACCCTCTGTCAAGCCGGGCAACCAACCAGGAGGTGGAAATGCTAATGAAGAGATGGTTGCACCTTGCTCCTGATGGGGGAAGGAGAGAGAGAGAAGGCCGGAAGCGGCGTGAGCCGAGTGTTGAGGCGTCTTACGCAAGGCAATTCCAGGACTGAGGCCTGTTGTAAAATTGTGTTCATGTTGAAATTTCCTGATTTGCCTTTTTGTTTTTGTTAGTTTGTCCTTTTTTTCATTTAATATTTTATTAAGATAATTTGTTTCACATTTTTCAACTTTTGTTAATAAATAATATGAACACATTTTCAAATGTATTTATTATTTGATTTATTAATGCATTTATCATGTGGTATTGAGTGTGGGTCACATTTTTGCTCAGGCCACTAATTGTGTTTGATGTGGTAAATATCTGGCAAACATTTGGGCCCCCTAATGAGGTTCAGATGTGGGCCACATCTGGCATACGAGTTAGAATCATGCTATCGCCGGACATCCACGCGGTATGTGGGCCAAATCTGGGCCCACGATGAGAAAGCTGGTTGTGGCAGAGCTATTAAAGTTCAGATGTGGGTAACTGGGCCGGATGTGGGCCAGAGATGCCCCGTCTCTGGCCCGTGCTCGGGCCACTTTGTGTTTGATGTGGTAAATATCTGGTAAACATATGGCCCTAATAAAGTTCAGATGTGGGTTCAAATTTCAAAACTATATATTTGTAAACACAAACACAAATAATACAATGAACTAATAAAATATAAAAATCTGAAAAAATATATTTAAGTATAAAGTAGTTCAAAAAATATATAAAAAATAGAAAATACTAACAAGCACACCCTACATCTTTATGAAACCAACGGTTTCCAGTTAGATTGTCGTTTTAACAATGTAAATCAGAAAGTATGAACACCAGCCTCAAACCATGTTAGTCAGCAGCCCTTACTCCCAGTGTCTTACTTATAAAGTCTGTGGCAGCTTTGGGATCGGAGAATCTACGCACAGCTCCATCCGGTAGTGTGATTCTCAACTCAGCAGGGTAGAACAGACCAAACTTGATGCCAGGGCAGGAGTGTAGGAGACGTTTAGCGTTCACAAATTGAGAACGTTTCTTGGCCACAGCTGACGTAAAGTCTGGAAAAATGAAAATTTTCCTGCCCTGATAAAGAAGAGGTGCAGCAGCTCCTGCCCGCCGCAGAATCTGTTCCTTCATGTGAAAATAGTGCACTCTGATGATTATTGGTCGAGGCGGGGCCCCTTCTTTTGGTTTTTCCCTGCTAGATCTATGAGCTCGGTCCAGAAGTGGCACCTCCTCCAACCTCAGCAGGTCGCGCAAAAGTTGTGAGATGAATTCTCTAGTATTAGGCAGCTCCAGTCCCTCAGCCAGCCCGATGAGACGAATGTTGTTCCTCCTTGACCTTCCCTCCAGATCCTCACATTTAGACTGTAGTTGTTTTACTTCCTCAGCCAAATCACATACAGAGGCCTGAAGTGACGTCAACTCGTCACTGCAAGAAGTGGCGGAAACCTCGAGGTCTTTAATGGTGGCCCCCTGAGTTTCCACCAAAGTTTGGATGGAGTTCACATTAGCTTTGAGCTCAGCCTTCACAGATAGAATTTCTGACCTTAATGTGAGGGTAAGGGTATCCATCTTCGAGTCAAATGTACCGCAAATGTCCTGCTTCAGACCCTGCAGCGCTCTGGTGAATGTTGCCTCACTGAGCGGAGCATCTGAACCATGCTCGTCCTCCTCCAGCTGCACCTCCTCCCGACGCGGAGCACCCGACCCAGAGCTCGCGTCAACAGTAGTGCGTCTCTGGCGAGTCGCCTTCTGGTTCTTATTATCCATTTCACGGGGATATCACGACTTTAAACAAATAAAAAAGTCTAAGACAGTCCCGATAGAAACAAAGTTTGAGCACACGATGACGTCACAGTTCAGCGACACCGGCGCGCACTGCTAATGCTTAGCTGTAGCACCATATACCATCCAAGGACAAAAATCACTCTTCAATGCTCACCCGTGCACGCAGTAGTATCGGTCCTGGTGTCACAATGCAAAGAGAAACATTTCAAGCCAGAGGAGAAGAACAGAGTTCGTGTCGGGCTCGGGTCGGGCGTTATTAGCTGTAGCTAGCTGCTGCCAATGCTAACTAGCAGGGCTCGAGGTGACGGCCGCGGCCTGTTGTAAAAAGTCCTCAAAAAGTAGCTCAGTGGCCGAAAAGGTGTCAAACGACGAAGGGATTAAACGTGCATTATAATACCCATATACGAGGCTGATTTATAAGTGGCGGTGTGCTTTAAAATAAAATATTTGTCCCCGTTGTTGCGGAGCCTCGAGAAGCACGTCTTCACTCCATGGTGTCCAACAGCGCCCCCCTCAAAGTTATTTTTATAGTCATTCCTGCACGTTTGACTCATCTTTATTCTCAAAAACTCTGTAACACACATATAGGAACAAAGCGTGTGTCTTTTGAGCTGACGGTTGATGGTTCAAATCCCGCTCCAGACACATACAGTACATCATTGGTTGATCGATTGGAAGGTGTGAAAACAGCTCCCATTGGTGAATGCTGCTGTGTGTACTTAGGCAAGACACTTAACCAACCTCGCTCCAAGTGTGTTTGTATGCACTGGTGAATGGGTGAAGTGGTAGGGAAGCGCTTAAAGAAATCTTTTATTTAACGTCCCAAAAAAAACAGGGTCTTTTCTGGCCTACGACCTATACACTCTGTCTGTGGCAGAGGATCCCTTTCTTTTTCTGGGCTGAGGTTTCTCGCCTTTTTCCCTCTGGGTTTTAGTCGTTCCTTTTTAAACATTTATGAACTTTGGTCATTCTGCTCTCTATGAACCAATGTCTCCATATTTCTGAAATTTCCCCACTGTGGGATGAATAAAGGATCTCTTAATCTAAATATGTCCATATATCCATTCATTTTCTTCCCCTTAATCCATTTCTGGGTCGGGGAGGTGGCAGTCAGAGCTGCACCCAGTACACTCAGCACCAGCCCCTCACTGATCCTCCTGCAGGTGGTGAATCCACAGGAGCTGAGATCTTTCAGCGAGTGCTTCAGGCAATTCAGAGTTAAGTGTCTTGCCCAAGGACACAACACCAGCAAATATCAGTGGGGGTTGTGAAGTTGGTCTTGTGGTGGTCTCGAACCCACAACCTTCAGGCCCAAAGGCCAATGCTCTACCATCTAGGGTTAACTATGTTAATCGAAAAACAAGTCCTGAGATGACTGTTGTGATTTAGGTCTAGACAATTTTTATTTATTTATTAATTTGACTTGAATTCATTGTTGAATTACCTTTTCTGCTTTTGGCAAAACAACATTTTTTCTTGGTCTGTGTGATTTTAAATAGTTCATAGTTTCATAATGTGTCTTGCCCAGAAACAAAAAATAAGAAAAGTTTTTGTCGTTGACCCACGGCTGGAGGACAAACCCTTATGTGACTAATTAACTGGACCAATGCCAAATAAATAATGAATTTCTGAAAATGGTACAAACGTGTGACTGAATGTTGTGTGATCTCAAACGTGTGGCTGACGCAGGTAAAATGTAATTAGAAGCACAGTGGTGGTGTCCAGGTGCACCGCTGTGGCCGTCCAGTCTCTGAGTTATTTTTACACTTCACAAAGTCATTCTCAAAGGCACAGTCCAATATCTACAGAAATAACAACTCCATGTTATTGGAGTAAGTTACATTATGTTTTTCTGTGCTCAAAAAACTGATTTCTTATATTGGGTCAGATCTCACACAGATATGACTGGTAACTGTAAAGCATTTTTCTTATCTCCATCATAGAAGTCTAACTGAATGCCATACTGTGGGACATATAGATTGACCCAAGCAAAAAGCGGACCTGCCACTTGGAAAGTTATGACATTTTCCAAAAGTTTTGTTGTGCACAAAATTTTGTGTGTACTAAAATATTAGCTTGCTAGCAATACTTCTTTTAGAATGTTGTAATATTGTTGTCAACTGTAAAAAAAACTGTCTGCCCCTTCAAATGTATTTGATTTTGAAAAGAATACCCATTTTATAACCTATGGCCTTGTAGTATCACCTACACAAGTATTATTGATACAACTAATATTTAAAACAGTCCTTGGAATAAGCATCATTAGTAAGAAATGCTGGAAAAGAATAGTGGTGACTAATGGTGAGGGTCCTCAGCTCTGTCTATCAAGGATTTGAATTCATTGCATCCAATCAGGAACCTCTGGGGGCGGGTCTAACTAACGAGGGCGTTCGAAAACCGTCTCTCCATCTTCAAAATTAGTGACCTTCACTTGAATTCACTTTAATACAAGACAATGTTACTAAAATTTCTCTCTTTCATTTCCTCCTGCAGTCCATCATGGAGCAGTTCAACCCGTGTCTGAGGAACTTCATAGCGATGGGGAAGAGCTATGAGAAGGCGCTGACCAGTGAGTAAACGCCGCCATTTTGTATTGTCTCGGTGTCTTTGGTTTGTGTATCTCTGCCCACCAGGCTGTAGACCCGTTAGCCCGTTAGCCCGGTAGCTTCACGAACACTTGCATGGCACGGCCTCAGATCACTCCATCCCAATATTTCGCACACATGGTAGTCATACGTTTCGTCGGTCAAACGGTCATTCCTCATCTGTAAAGTTTTTTATATTGGTGTTGTGGTGTTTGTGTGTGAGTTTTGATGTCAGTTTTTTGTGTGAGGGTGAGCAAATGTTTCTTATATTTTGACACACTGCTACTGCTATTGCTACTACTAGTACTTGTATTACTACTACCATTACAATAGCAACTTGGCTCTTTCAATCCTAATTTAGGCCTATTGCTACTACAACTACTGCTAGTTTCCCCACCCCTGATCCCACTACTACAACTACTACTACTACAACTTCATAGCCAAGACTTCACTTCTTACTATCCAACAATAACACACATAACTAGATGAGCAAAATATTCTTTCTCAAGGACACGACAACAGCATTTCTCAGAAGCTTGGATGCCTTTGGTTCCTTTGTTGTCAATTTGTATTGTGTGATTCTCATGACCTTTTGAAAAGAGCGTTTGAATACTTTTGCTCCCAATTGAAATCTATTTTAAACAGTGTTGCCGCAGAAATATATTACTGCTACTGCTGGTGCTGGTGCTGCCACTATCACAGCAAAACCTTGTCTGTTTTTTATTGTTTTGGCCTATTACTAAACCACTATTACTATTACTGCTGTTGTTGCTGCTGCTACTATTAATACTACCACAGCACCATGGCTCTTTCATTCATCTTTTAGGGGGTATTGTTACTACAACTAAAACTATTACTAATTTTCTAGATCTCACTGGTTTTACTACTGCTGCTGTTACTACTACTGCTGCTGCTGCTACTAATTCTACTAATACTACAGCTGCTACTACTATTACTGCTGCTTCTGCTGCTGCTACTTCTTCTGCTAATGCTATTATCTGTCACTGTAACTAACGCTATGTACGCTTTGAGACGGTTTCTAGCATAACTCCTACTGAGGATTTGAGTACTTTAGAATAATAACTAAAGAAACGTGCACGGATTATGCTCTGTCGTGAATGCACGAGAAACCGAGATACCAGCGAGGTGTTATCTACCTTCGACACAGAGCTGAGTTTTATGTGCCGCTGGAAGAGTGTGTATGGGACGGTAAAGTGGAGCAGGAGCCAATGAGAAGTGGGACGAGGAGGTAGCATAACGAGATCCCCACGGGGCAAAGAATGAGAACAGAGCAGCGTCTGTATCCAGGACGGGACACTGAACAGGTGCAGAAGGGAAATGGATTCGGATGAGTTAGACTCTTTCTCCCTCCGCTGTCTGGGGTCCATACATAATACAGTATGTGGTACCAAAAACAGTACAAAAAATAAACGGGGGAATCTCAATTTTTTTTTCCTGAATTATCCATGTTGTTTGTCCAACAGAAAAAAAAACATACAGACAACAAACAGTCTTTCTCTTATTAGAAAATATTGTATCTTTTCATACTTATGTAGAAACCTGCCACTATTTGACACTTTGGGCTGAGAGTTGATTTGTAGTTTAAAGATGTGACAGAGGCTAAAAACATCTGCATGAAAACTAATGATAAAGTCAAGAACTCGTCAGGTGTTAGGGGAAAAAAGTGTGGTTTGAAAGTTTAGGTAACCCAGCTATAATGAATCTGAACTATCAAAGCAGTAAATTGATATGAATTATTTCTTTTTAATTACACAATACGTGGCATTTTGTCTCCCCAAATTGTATTAATCACTGGGTAAAACAATGTAATTTTGTTTTCTAGTCAGAGAATTGGGAAGTTTTTTTAAACCAATTGATATTTATTTTATGCTGTCCAGAGTCGTGACATTTATTGCTTTGTCCTTATGAACAGAAACAATTAAAATGCAAATACATCTCGCACAGAACCAGATGGGACAAACACGCATTCTCCATGTTTGAGAATTGGACCAGGGTTTTCTTGGGCGAGAATAACCAATCAGATTTCACCGTGGTATAAAGTGCATTTCTATAGTTGTGAATTCTGTCGTCTATAGTGGTCAGTGGCAGTTTCCTTGTATGACAGTGTCTGCGGTTGAATGTGCGATGATTAAAATGACTCAGCAGTGGTTAATTATTCTCAATTAAGTTTCTAAATGAGTCGTGAAGGACACTCGGAGGTGAATCCTGCTGCATGTGGCCAAAGTACCCACACCAGCACTGCGGGGACAAAGACGTCTTTAAGACTGGGCTAATACATGGATTAATGCTCATATTGTATTTTTGCATTGGAATGAGAATAGCTTTTTTTCAGCATTTCAAAATGTTTCAAAAACGATTCTGCTTCAACGCCACACTGGGTTAGCAAAACACAAAATGTCCTGAAGATTTTTGTGAAATTCATGACTGAGAATGAATGTTGCAGGACACATATTATGCCGAATTCTCTCAATGTTGCAATAATGGTCCCTTGTTAAAATGATACCTGGACCGGAGGAAAGGAATAATCCTACTCAAGGGCACAGCATTTCTCAAAAAGTTGGATAACTTTGGTTGCTTTGTTGTCAAATTCATTTGTGTTAAAATCACGTCGTCTTCAAGCCAGTGTAATATTGTTCCGTTGACAAAAAGATACCTGGAATAGTTAGTATTTATCATTGTCGTTTCATTTACAGTCGTTTCATTTCATTTAATATCAGGACCCTCTGTCAAATTAGCTCCAACTTTTGTCTAATGCTCCCATCTCCTGCTTTTTGAAATATGACAAATTCTTATTGGGGATCAGGAACATATTATAGCCATTTCTGCCTTTAAAGTATTAAATTATTAAATTATTAAATTAAGTTTTGGGTATTTCTACAATCTTTACAACAACAAAAAATTGCTCAGACAGGCCATAGTGTACTCCGGGATGAAAACATGATGCTTATAAAAAATGTGCTATAGATAAACTGCTATATAAATAACATGGATTGGATTTGATTATTTCCACTTGTCCTTTTATGCTAATAAGTTGCATTATTGTGACGTCACAACTATCCAAAGAGGCTATAGCCTATTTAACATTGTGTTGGAGGGCAGTTGGAAAATCAATCATGCTAACTATGGTAACGGACATCTTCTTTATCAGCACATATCCAAACTAATTATTTTGACATTAAGATGCCTATAAGTGGTGAATTTATTTAAAAAAAATAAATGCGTGATGTTGGCCAATAGAACAAACTTCCAGACATAAAAATAAAATGTTGAGATTGTGTATTAGCACGTGTCCTCCAACTGAAATACACTGTAATTCTACTAAATGAAAACACGCTATTCTCTGAACCGTCTCTTTGAATATATGTGTAAACCAAGTGGACCCAAAGCCTGTCTTAAGATACCAGAAGATAACAGTGACATAAAGGCAATGGTATCATCCTGTTTTTCCCTGTCAGATAATACAAATAAATTATACTTTGTGTGGGTCTGATGTCATCCTCTATCAAGATTCTGTATGTGGGTTTAAAAATGCCATATTGTGGGACACTGACATGTTCTTGAGCTCTTTAAAGTCCATGTCTTCTTTCTTTTTCACATCTCTTCCACCTTACATTGTGCGGAAATACTATGTTCACCCAAAACGTCTATCATTTTGGAGTTTCTTGATTATTCTGTTTCACCGGTGGCTCCTCCTCGCCTCCTTTTGTATTTTCACTGCGGGTCCCTACGGCCGCAGAAAGAAAGCACATAGATAAGGCTAAAAATATCGTTGCGACTCCCAGAGAGGGGATCACACTTCATCAATGCCAGCCTCAGCCTCTCAGCACTGGGCATTGAGCACCAGCTGGAAGTGGGCCACCGACCCGGGCCCAGAATAAGGGGAACACAGGATTTTTAACACATGAGGGAGTGAGATTGTGGTGTTATTAAATGACAAAACATGGAGTAAAATCTGAAAGGGTGGCTTACCCGTGGTTTAGTTCTGGGTTTGTGGGAGCAGCCATAACTTTGATCGATTTGGGCTCCAGATAAACTATATAGTGGAACTCCTGGAAGTATTTCATCTTACCATTTTTGCAATTCACTAATACTACCTGTCATTATGCATTTACAGTAGGTTCTTGACTCTAACAGCACATTGTTTTGAATGGGTGCATGCATAGTACAGTGGTCTGATAAAAAAATAAATACACACACAAAAATGAATAAAACAAAATAATAATAATACAAAACTATATACGTAAATACACAGATACGTACATAAATTAAAAAAAATAAAAAATATAATTACATATTCACCCTTGTTCAACGAGAAAAGAAATGTGGCTGTTGCTATTATAATAACATTTTTATTTACTTTTGTAATTCAGCAATGTAATTCAGGTACTTTTTTTATACGTGTTTGACACTGGTTCTTTATCCTGACAGAGCTGGTACTAAAGTTGTCTAACTGATGACCATATTTACCAAGGAATTTCCCCGGAGACTGGTTTGGCGTAGGCAGGTTGCTAGGTTACAGTACCAGATAGAGCAGAGTAGAGTGAAGAAGAGCAGGGCCAAGAAGGGCTGGTCTAATAATTCTAAAAGGTATTAACAATAGCGTAAATAGCTGAATGAACAACAGCAATCTCTGAAAAACGTTCGGTTTGGCAGCGCAGTGAGAGGAGCCTGTTGCTATGGCCAGTCTGCTGGGCTGCCATTGGATCATAGGTTTTCTCTGTGAGTCAATTTCAATTTTACAACCTATTGCGATACAACTCTGCAGCTATATATTCAATGTGCTTTAAATGGTATACCCAATTTTCTTGGCTTTCTCCGTAAAATTGATTGATGTGATTTGATGCATTATTGATGTCCTTTTTGAAATACGTTGCGTTTTTGCATATTGCACTGTGTTTTGTCTGCAACAATCTTCTGCCTTAAATCTAATTGTGTGAATCAATCGCTGGTGATTTTGCCGCTCCTTTCCCGGTGATAGATGGTTGGTGTCTTCTCTTTGACCTTGGCAGCACTTCCATAATCGCTGGCTTCTCTGTAGACCCGTCTTGCTTGGCTTTCCCTCCACCTTTTTTCCGGCTTTTTCCTGCTCCTCTTTCTCTCTCTTTGTCCCGTTTTTTGCTTCTGCTTATCTCCCCGTAGACGACTGGTGCCATGCTTGAGCCCACTGACGGCCACTGCTTCATGTTTCCAGGTGTCACTTACGCGGCAAAGGGCTACTTCGACGCTTTGGTGCGGATGGGCGAGATGGCCAGCGAAAGCCAAGGATCTAAAGATCTTGGTGAGTCTTCATAGCAAAGACTGTAGAATGTAGGTGGCTCTGTAGGAAGTAAGATTGGGATTTTTGGTAATTTGGAAATTTGAGGTTCACAATGACTTTTTGTATTGGTGTGGATAGATGACATGGATCGACTCTAGTTTGCAGCTTGCATTTCGTTAGTTTCTTGGGTATGGTGGTCTTGTTTGGATGGACTGTGTCTCATGGCACCAATGGAAGTATATTTTTAAAGGTTGTGCGAGGGTAGTAGAGTCCCTCTATACAGGAACAAACATATTTATGATGCACGTGCAGGTAGAAACAGCGCCAGAGCCAAGTCTTTGCTCATGAGACTAAACAAATGTGTAAATAGGATAAGAACCGTCTTTGTCAGTGAAGACTTTCCGATGTGGCAACTGTGATGGGATGCTTTTTATTTTATTTTATAAATAAAATAGAAACTTTACCCAAGATTCGTCTTTGGACTTGGTCTTTTACGCAGCTTTGGCTTCGGTTGTCGTTTTGGGTTGGAAAACTGTACTTTGTTCACACATATGGGAGAGGTTGAGATGGTAGAGAAAGAGGGCAATCTGGGAAAAAGAACATTTTTGACAACTTTTCTTGTTTCTTATTGAACTGTTTCTCGGTGAGTTGACTATGTACTTGCTCCAAGGCCAGAGAAAACACTCAATTGTGCATATTTATAGTAATAAAAAAATACTTTTTATTTCTTATGCTTCTTTCTTGACACTCAAGGTTGCCTTACATAACAGGTAAAAAGTACATTATAAAAATGGTCATAAGGAAAGATTAGAAGTTTCTGTCATAAACAGCTCTGATAAAGTAAGTAATCTCATGTCCAAAAAAGTGATCTGATTTGAGTAGATTGAAAATATGATCAAGAATGCAAGGCAAGGCAAGTGTATTTGTAAAGCACAGTTCATACACAGTTTTGAAGACAGAAACAAAAAAACAGTGAAGATACAGTCGCTCAGTTGTATGCACAGCTAAACAGAACTGTTTTTGAACATTGTCAGAGCAGAATCCTGTCTCCTCATGTTTAGTCTCTGAGCACCTCCAAAGACTTTTTCTCTTCTCTTTTTTTCTTCCTTTTCCCACGTTTTGTTCCTCCCTGATGCATTTCCCTCACACAGACACATGTTACAGTTTAGTTCTGAAAGGCCCGTGTTCAGTGATGGAGGAGATGACTTCAGCCTCGGCTCACTGCATCCTGAGCCCTTCACCTCCACGTGACTCCTCTCGGCCTCAGCCCAGGGACCTTTTATAACGGCACTATCATTTATTTATGCGTCCATCTCTTCACGTTATTATTATTTACACAGCCGCAGGACATGCACCTATTTGTTTGGAGATAGAATTACCCGAGGAGAGTGTGATCACCATTTTTCTTTTACTGGTAAGGGGTGGTGCAATTGTTTTTGTGTCTTTACCCATAGATACATAATCCAGTATTCTCCCTGCTGCCAATACCAATGTTTACCAATAAAAAAAATCCATCCATACCACCATTTTCTTCCGCTTTATCACAGTCCCTCCAATATGAGTCCAAAAGCGATGACCTCGACCGGCTCATCTCCATGTGCATAAGCAGCGGCTCTACTCCGAGCTCCTCTCGTGTAATCAAGCTCCTCAAACTATCTCTAAGGGAACGCCCAGCCTCTCCACGGAGTACGCTCATATCGACTGATGGTGTCTGCGTTTTCTATACAATCATATTATACAACTGAATTCTGCCCAGTCGATCGGTAACTACTGTATGTGACAAATTGGGAGATTTGTAGAAAAATACGGTTTTAGCATTTGAATATTTATCCATCTATCCATTTTTCTACCGCTCTAGAAGTCAAGAGCTGATTACTCACATCCAATCAAGACGATATAGTGTAGCACAGGTTTGACAATTTAACATTACTATCTGGATATTCTAGATTAGATTAGCTTAGACATTTTTTTAGGAATTTCTCCATTTTCGAATTTACCAACAACTACTGCTTATTGGTAAGGATTTGACTTGGATAAATTGGTTGTTTTGCTCTGAACGGACTGGACTTTGCTCATAGTTAATTCCTCCACTTAAAAGATTGGAAGAGAGATTAACAGGAGGGACTTCACTAATGATATTAAAATGTGATTGTTCAGCACAAAACAGGGAATGTGGGGAAGAGAATGTGAACTATGGTCTCAATGCGTGACTCGTTTACAGTGTGGGTTAAGGTTCTTCTGAAATAATGACACTTTTATTTTCAAATATTGTTGTTTATACGAATAAACTTCTGAAACCACAGTGAATTATTGGAAAACTATGAGTGTATTAATGTTGTGAAAGCCATTACTGAACCAGTCACGACATACAGTATATTTGCCTTTACTTTTAAGTTTATCTATATTTTGTGCCTATAATTTGACATTCAAAGTGAGTAAAGTGCCTTGCTCATAGACTGTGGTTTTTGACTGGTGGTTCAACATTTTCCAATTTCAAGATTGCTGGCAAACTAAGTCAAAAAGCATTTATTTCCCTCCACTTGTTGGAAGATTATTTTTAAATATATTGATGTTTTGTACTGCTCAGCCAAAACACAGTCTTGTTGTTTTCGTGAAGTTTGTGATTTGGAAAAAAAACATAAATACAGTTTCAATTAAGAAAAACATGTGTTAAGATTAAGCTGGAAACTTGACAAATAAATAAATTTAGGAAAAACAAATTTCATGGAGACAGTAGTGCTTTTCCATGTGGTATAGAGAAAAGTTTCTACAATTGGATGTAAAAAGTCGAGGAAGTAAGTAAGTAAGTAATCTTTATTTATATACCGCCTTTTCACTGCAGATCTGAGTCTCAAAGCGGTTTACAATTGTTAATTATGGGCATTTATCTCTCACTCCACACAGAGATGGGAGCGGGGGTCGCCAGTACAGGAGCCGCCTGCCATACATGCCTATTGGACATATTTTTAGTGGTAGGGGAAACCGGAGTACCCGGAGGAAACCTACGCAGACATGGGGAGAACATGCAAACTCCACTCAGAAAGGCCCTGGTCCGACCGGGATTCGAACCCAGGACGTTCTTGCTGAGAGGCGAGAGTGCTATCCACTCAGCCACCGTGCCGCCCAGGAAGGAAATTGTGCTTCATTGTTTACTAGCTAGCTGTAGTTGATGTCAAAGACCCCCTCTCCCACAGCACTATTTTTGCGAAGGCATTGAAAAAAAATTGCCCAAAAATAGTCTAATAAGTCTAGAATGTAATACGGCCACCATGCATTAAAAAACACAGTTAAATCTGTTGCAGTGTTATAAGTTACAACATTAAAATGATGCTGGATTATATTACTGTTATGAATCCTGTTTACTTAATTTGGCTGATTACTTATTTTAATTATAACGGCTTTTACATCTAATGCTTTCTCAGTAAAAGCTTTCTAGAGTATAGAGTATAGCATTCATTATTGCTAAACTCAAAATACATCTAACGAGTTCCTGGCTCAAAAACTGTTTGGATCTATCACTATTTTGGAGGACCCCCCTCACTCAGCCAATCAGCTCTCAGTATGTAAAATATGTAATGTTTTTGAATAAGATAAAGATAGCTGGTTGTTGTCTGATTTGTTCACAAAATGTCACTTAAAAATACTTTCTTCTTGGATGAACACAATGTATTAATGTAAAAAAAGTTAGCTCCTCCATTTTTAAATACTGTTTAGTGCAGGGGTGCCCAAACCTTTTGCTTCCAAGGGCCAAAGTAAAAATTTGCCAGTGGGCCGCGGGCCAAATACACCAATATTATGCATGAAACACAAATAAATGTAGATTTGATCAAGTTCTTTTAAATGCATTAAGTATTGTCTATCAGTGCAAATCACAGCTGAATGAATGAAATCAACACAGTCTTAGTGAAGTGGAGGCTCCAGGGAAATATGCAGGTTTGAGGAGACTACAGTACGGAAAGATTCCGGTCGGGTAATCAGGGTCCAGAGGAGGGAGATTTTCTGTCATGGCTTATTTAAAGGTTAAAATCATATAATAAAACCTCAAAAAGAGAACAGAAACATACATTTTGTGTGCACCATGTGCACTTGTATATTGTAAATAGTAACTGTAACTCTATTTTAAATTTAAATGTATTCCTTAGAAGTGTTTTTTATTCTTTATTTTTATTATCTCTGTTGCACTGAGCCAAAGCAATTTCCAAGTCTATTTTCATATATTTATTTTGAACAAAAGTTTTTAACTACATTTGAATCATATTACTTTATCTTAGCTTTTATCAAAAGGGGAGACATCACTGATCAATAGATCTGGTTTTAGCACACTTTTAAACAATACATTTTAACATTAAGTAATGAATTTGGGAACATAATTGCTAACTGTATTTTCTAAACATGATCAGGTTTTAACTCTGTTTTAACATAGGACAAGTATTCTCAATTAGTAGTAAACTGAATATTAAACTAACAAAATCAGACTAGTTAACCATGATTTGTTCCTGGAGTTTTGTTTTGTTTTGCCTAAACACAGTACAACATTTATAAACAATCAAAACAAAGTAACTGTTAAAGAGTCCGTGTTTCCGCTCCTCCAAAGGGCTCTTGAACGCATCATAAAACTCCGCATAAGTTCTGTCTGACATTCAATGATCGTGAGTGAGGATGGCGCTTACCGGCTTCTTTCATGGGGCTGTAGAAGGGTTAGTTTTGCACAGTATTTGTTGCTTCTACTTACGTGGATCGTGCGCTGCGATCCCTGCTTGTCCTGCTTGAACTCACTGTGTTTGTGTCCGTCCTTTTTAACACACCGGGTGGGTGCGGATTGCGCAGGTTAATAGTTCCACTCGCCATTTCCCTCCGGTGAGGAGGGGGAGTGGCAGTTCGGCAGCACAATCCTCTCAATTTGATAAAACATTAAATAGCTCCAAAAAATAATAATAGTAGGCTGAAAAAAAAGAACATAAAGGGGCCTTGCACCCAATTGTTTTGAAAGATGTGTTTGATTTTAAAAAACATTTTAGTGC